AACCGCAAGGCACAACATGCAGCAAAGTGCGAAGGCGAAGAAGAAAAATTGCACCAAACTTGATGTCTAATTTAAAACAAACTCCAAGCCTGGCCAAAAGCCAAGGCAGTACCGCAATAAAATTTACAGTTTCCAAAAGTTTGCTACGCAAGGGTTGGGCCAACTAATTGAGATTGAGTTGGCCAATAAAATCTTGACACTGAGCTGTGCGCCAACTAATGATGAATCCTTGCTCTCTGCTCTCCATTGTAGACCTCGCACCACAAGCAGGAACAACAAACTTGAGGATATGAACAAAACGAGACCGTCAAAAGCCGGCCTTCCGGTGCTTTTGGTAACTTTTCTGTTTTTTGTCGCCCAAGCCGCGAGTCGGCCCTCAACGGAAAATGAAAGTGACATTGCATCTTTGCCGCCGGATGCAGACAACGTTGAGGTAAGCGGGGGTCTAGAGACTGCGAACTGATTTATCCTTTACTTTAATTTGCATCCTTGCTGCAGTTTCATCATGTGAAAGTCGTGGACGGTGTTATGCACGAGGATCATCCGGTGGTAATGTACAAAGAGGACTTTGTCAACGAGGACTATGGTAAGAAACGCTTCCATTTCTATAAAAACTTAAATTAATTTCCACACACTCACACACAGATCCCAGCAAAAACGAGACCAAAGTGCACCATCGAAAATTGTTCAAGGGTCTGCAGCGTATTCGGCATCATCACTTAAGACCACCTACAAAACCGGTGGCGGTGGAGGAAAAGATCGTATTTGATGTGTTGCCCGAGTCCCCGCTTATATTGGGTGATGATGACTCTGTTGCCGACAAGTATGAGGTCGCCCAGCTGGTTCAGCCTTTACAGCAGGAATCACCGCAGAAGTATCCCAAGAAGTACCACAGTCGCCAACGTCGCCAGGCCGACAATCCGTATGTGCGTAAATCATATAAGAGCGATTTCTATGGCAAAGCACCAGCACCCTACTATTTGCCCGTTCAACCTCAATATCACTATCAACGGTAATATATAATTTTGAGCCACTTGGGGGATCTTACAAGTCTGCATATTATATCATTACAGGGTTCCAGTTGTGGGAAAGAAACCAAAGTATCAGGGAAAACTTCCTTTCTGGCAGACCCCAAAACCTTCCCTCAAGCCAACGAGTATTGGCAACCGTGACGATTTCGGCGAAGATAATGAAAACAGCCTGTTTCACAATTCCAATCCAGACGATGCGGACTTCTCGATATTCGATCAGCCCAGGCCAGACGATAAAGTAACCGGTGGAGGCAATGGTATCAACTGGCAATCACCCCCAGTGCAAGGTTAGTCCGACCTGTTTTCTAACCCAGCTACTGTGTAAATGCCAATCTATAACATAAGCTGTATTCACAGAATCAGAGCCTGCACCAGTTTTCGGATCAAGCCAAGGCAGACGTCCAACTAGTGGCCCAGGTAAGCTATCACAGCTATCGAGCCGTTGCCGTCTGTCATACTTATTGGTTAATTTACGATCCATCATCCGAGTGTACATAACAAAGTATCTTTGCTTCCTAACAAAACGATAGGTCGTCCATCATTTCCATCGCTTTCTGCATATCCTACCTTCTATCTCATACTCTTGCTGACCAGTTCACATTCTTGTTACGTCACAGCACGGAGACCCGACATACAGTTTCCACCGTGGCCTCCAACAACCAGCCGACCAGAAGTATGGTCACCATCAACCACCCGTCGACCGGCGCCACCGCCACAGGTGACCAGCTCACCCCCAGCACAAACCACAGCTCGGGTGTCCAACTGCGTGTGGGCAATTGTCAACTGCTGTTCGCAGGGAAGCAATAAGATTCGATACAACTGCTTTGAGGAGTTCGGTTGCCACGGCGCCTTCTGGGGTGTTAATCCCTGTGCAGACAACATTCGCGACCGTGCGATAGCCTCCTTAACAAGATCGTCCAAATAGGCAGTCTGCGCCAAGGACATTAATCTTACAAAAGTATTCGATTGTCTTGTTTGGCTGTGTGCCCATGTCAATGTATTTTTAATAGCTATACAGGAAATCGTTTTAATTAATTTTAAGATAGGTCTTTACTCGAAAATAAAGTATCCTCTTGATGACCATCAAATACGTAACCTAAAGTATTCATTTGCAGACCGTTCCCAGGCATAATGTGAAAAATACTGTGAATAGCACGAATATTATCGGTGTGGTATTTCCGAACTATTTCTATCTTTCTGTTGCTAATTAACTAAATTAAATTAATTTAACAAGTACTCAATAATTGGTTTTAAATCGCGAAGTTTAAGTTAATTTGAAAATAGCCAATGCATGTTTGGCCTTATTACAATTGAAGCAATATAAACAATTATCTATTAATTAACCATCTACCATAGCATCCTTCAATCCTCATTCAATTCTAACTGCCAGACAGCGTTGCCTGGTCGACAACCCCTGCTTTCCATTGACCCCTCACCTGACTAACGCTCAGGGACTGCATAAACACCTACCCCTACCTGCCCCTAATTAGAGCATGAGAACAGCACAGCTAAGAGTTTTTGTTGTCATTGTTATTAAGTGCATGATGAATAATACCAAAGAGCTGCACCCAGTGTTCAGTAGAGTGTAAATTAATTAAATTTTTATTGGCCAGCTAATCGCTCACATGCATGCATGCACTCACACGTTCACGCCTCGAAAGTTAACATGTCGGCGCCTTTTAATTACAGGGAATGTTCAGTCGCCTTCAGTCCAGGCGGCATCCTCCTGGGCCAATCCGCCCAGGCCAAGACCACGGCCGGTCTTTCGTCAAGGTGAGAATAATAAGTATAACTGATGCCAAGTAAACCGATTCATTTGATACTCTTCCAGATTCCGTGCAGTACCCATCGGAGCCCAGCTATCAGCCAGGCAGCGCCTGTCATCGGGCCGCGCAGCTGTGCTGCAGTTTCGCAAATCTGGGCACAACTTATGATTGTTTTCATCGCCAGAAATGCGAGCGAAGCCTCGCAGAAATAGTCTCATCGTGCTCCTAGCGCTTCTTTACCTCTGTCGTAAATTAAGTAATGCAGCTTAATCAGCATCTGTATCCCGATTACGTCTAATCCAATCTGCATCAATGCCGCATCTGTATGGAACAACAGGAATCTAGTCGACACTGCCCACCAACTATTCGCTACTAAGATGGTGCATAGGGACTTGTTTTGCATTTTCTTTGAAGAATATACACGCTTAAAATTTACTCTAGCTTAGCATATTTGTACATTTGTATTTATATATTTTGGAAACCAAGATTTTTAAATTCACTGCGCCGGTCATAAATATATATTAAATATATCTCTATATATAAAACTGTTTGTCCTAACTGACTGACTGATGTTTATAAGGTGTGGCTTTTTGTTCATGGTTTGACCTCTAGATCAATTTGGCATCTAAATCTGGCAAAATTATGATTGGTAAAAATTCATGTAAGATTGGTGTGCTCACATAGGTAAAAATTCGAAATTGCGGAAGCACGCGAGCACACACACACACATCCATACATACATACATACATACATACATACATACATACATACATACATACATACATACATACATACATACATACTTACATACATACATACATACATACATACATACATACATACATACATACATACATACATACATACATACATACATACATACATACATACATACATACATACATACATACATACATACATGCATACATACATACATACATACATACATACATACATACATACATACATACATACATACATACATACATACATACATACATACATACATACATACATACATACATACATACATACATACATACATACCTACATACCTACATACCTACATACCTACATACCTACTTACCTACGCCTCCAGCTCCGCCCCCTTGGTGCTCCTCCTCCGGCTCCTCAGCTTCCAGCGTTGAAGCCGCCTGCGCCTAATTCATAGGTGAAGCCTGCTGGCCTTACTTACATTTTTGAGAATCGAGGAGGAGGGCAACTTTAATAAATACGTTTTCTTATTCAAACTTTCCGCACAACAAGACAAATTGGGCTGCTATTGGTATAGAAGACAACTTACATGCATGTATACATACATATATACGTACACACATACATACAGACACGCACATACATACACACACATACACACACATATCATAGACCCTATTTATACAAAGGTCAACATTTCCCACCGCCATAACTTTGTCAAATCGTATCCGATTTTCACGAGGTTTGTTTTTTTGTTCATGGCTTGACATCTAAATCAAGTTGGCATTTAAATCTGGCAGCATTATTCTTTATTCGAAATTCATGTAAAAATGGTACCCTGAAATACCCTATATAGACATAGGTTAAAATTTTCTACCCACATCACTTGGTCAAATCTTATTCGATTTTTACGTGGTTTGGCTCTAGATTAATTTGACTTATAAATCTGACAACATTATTCATGTTCGAAATTCAAGTAAAAATGTTATTCCAAATATCCTATATAGACATTATATTCAAAGCTCAGCAGCAGTGGTAAATTGGCTGTGAGTGAATTTATATTATACGTACCACGTGCAAGGCCAGGGATATATCCGCCAGTATATATATATATATATATATATATATATATATATATATATATATATATATATATATATATATATATATATATATATATATATACATATATGTTTTTTTCATACACCCCGCTCTCATTCCTGTAAGCTACCACATATTATACTTATTCGCAGACAGCCGGCGGTAACAAATCTCAGTTGATTTAATTTGCCAGCCTAATGTCACTTGCACTGATATTTACAGACCTCCATGCGAGCCGAGTCAGTAAGGCGATTATGTTGTGGGTATTGTAGTGCCACACCCACAGTTGCTGACATTGTGTGCTTTGGCTTAATTGATTTGTGTTTTGCCGTACAACACTTTTTTTTGCTCTTTCAAGCGGGCCCAAAGAAAAAAGGTTGTACTCACCGCTGCCGCTGTCGTAGGATCGGGAGGTGGAGCCACTCGTATTGGAACGCTTAATCTCGCGCCGACCCATGCTGTCTCTGTCTGTGGTCTGCTGCGGTTCCTGTTGCTGTTGCTGGTGGTGGTGGTGGGATGAGTGTGCGGGCGAGCTGCTGGCCACGTGGCACGTGGCAAGAAGTGCGCAAGCAGTTGAGGCAGCCGCTTTGGCCACCGCAGAACTGTAACTGGAACTGGGTGCAGCTGCTGGGCTGCTGGGCTGACAGTGGAGCGACGGGGTGGAGGCGGTGGCGGGATAGCGGTTCGCGAGCAGCGACCCGGCACTGCGCGTGGTGGGTGGAAACTCGAAGTAGTTGACCTGCTGCCGATTGCCAAGCAAATTGATGGCCGGTTTCGTGGCCAAGCTGCTACCTGTGTCCGCGTGGCTGGAGCTGCTGCTGCGCCTGTGCTGCTGGTGATGCTGGAGCTGATGCTGATGATGCTGCTGGTGATGATGATGCTGATGCGTATGATGCCTTTGGAGCTGATTGCTGATGGCGCTGCTGCAGCTGCTGCCGGCTGTTTGAATCTGATGTGGCGTGGGCGGCGGCGGGGGACAAGCGTTGTTGATGCTGCTGCTGCTGGAGAAGGACGATTTTCGCAGTGATGATGGCCTTAACCCCTTGACAGGGTACAATGGGTACTATCGCCCGGCAACGCGTACCCAATCGCGGTGGTCTCGGTCGCTGTTGTACCAAATGCCTGCAAGCAAATAAAAGACAGACATTGTCGTAATCATCGTAATCGTTATTGTTATCGCCGAGCATCGCCCAGCGATAAGCAACAGCTCTTAAAGCGTACTCGGCGCGCGTGGCCAGCATGACAACGCACATTGCGTATACGCCCCGCGTTAATGTTGTGCGGCAGCATCGTAAAAGGCAGACCGCGAGCCCATTAACCACGCCAAACCATTTGGGACAGTCTCTGACATTATCGACAGTCAGTGCCAATTTTACCAAATATTTGGCACATGAAATCATTTTGCGCTAATAAAATTTCACACCCCACTGGGCGGATCATTGATTTGCTGTAAAATGCCAACCACAAACTGACCACGCATCCCTTTTACAATTTGCGCTTAATGGGCATGTCATATGGAGCTTAATATGCATTGGTTAGAATAAGATATGTGATCTGCAAATGAAATGTGCTCAGCAAAGTTCATAAATTTCAAGTATTAGTAAAAGTTTGTTATTAAAATTTAATCATCTGGCGCCGACTGTAACTCGATGTGGTTGGTAATTTAATCAAACACACCATACAGCAAGTGCCTTGAAGTCGCCAAGGTGGCCAAACTAGAGAAGAGTTTTATTTGCCTCGGAGTCCCACTTGAGGAGCCGTCAAGCTGCAGCAGCTTACTTCAGCTGACATCTTATCTTTATGGGGCAGAGAAATGCTTTTAGTGACAAGAAAAATCAAGCCGAGGCATGCCACGCAATAAGAAGGCAGCTGAAGCAGCGGCAACGGAAGTAAAAAAAGAAATCAATAATAATGGCATTTTATTAGAGTTGGATGCTTCTCGAGCCGCCAGTACTCAACAGGTTGCACTTGCAATATGTGATTCAGGTCAGGATGGGACAGGACACGGACTCGATTAACTGTCAGAATCGAATCAGTTCCTGTTGCTGTCAAGTGCAGCGAGTATTGAGTAGTAAACTAGTTTTTCCTGCTATTTAATTATGGTGTGTATCCGCTGATGGCACACCACTAAAAAGCAAATGAGATTCCAGTTGCAGCACACAGAAACAGAGACAAATGGCAGAAGATGGAGTGGAAGTGGGAACCACAATCTTGACATGCTCAAGGCGAGCAGGCAACCGGTAAATACAATTCCATTTAAATGTCATGAAATGCCTTCTAATAAAGCAAATGCTGGCTGTCTACCTAATAGCCCGAGGGAAAGTCCTGCACAGATATTGTGGTATTCACGTACAGCTTCCGTTTTCATTTGTCGATGTGAAGCAACAAGCTGATTTGCTCATTTGCTCGGTCAATATAGGAATACAGGAAGGTATATACTTAAAAAGCTGGCCTGAGCTCGGCAGGAGAATATCAAGGTTGAATGGTCTAATTCCCATGTGCAAGAGAAATAAAGACAGTGAAAGAGAGAGGGGGGAAGCGCAACACTCAGTCTTCCACATGTTGCCTCTAATCGGTTCGGATTTGAATTTCCATAATATGTGGCCAGATAGCAGAGTGAGAGACAAGGATGACACCATGCACAAGCGAGAGGAAGCAAAGGATGCAAAAACGAAAAAAAAAACACACGATGTCAAACCCAGTGAAGCTCATAGCTCAGTTTGCCAGCCCAACCAACCAGGCCAGATCAGGCAGCCTGGGCCGGATTAAGGCATCAAATTGTTAGCTAATGCCTTTGCCTACATGGATCAAAGCATGCCACAAACCTGGCATATGTATGTGTATGTGCTTCATTTGTCCCTAAGACTCCGACATCGTCAGTTATTCATGGCTAGGGGGTCGGCTCTAGTTTTAGCGTCGACAACGTTTTTTAATCAATTCCTCAAGTCAGTCTATCAATAATGCCAAATGGTAGACAGACAAAATGAATAATGTCTTGGCATCGCTTTTGTTATTGTTGTTATTGTTGCCGGATAACTGCTGAGCAAGTGGAAAATACGAGTTTCCTTTCGCCTTCCCATTACATTTTTCCATTTGCCAGTTCGCCCTTGCCATTTTCCTTTTCCGTTTTCTTTTAAAGCCGCTGTTATGGCATTTGCCATATGCCCTGGTCACAGAATGTGCCCGCCTTTGAACATGTCAATTCATCACCACCACCCGCACTTTGAAGGAATCGCCTAAGCTTTGTTATGCATTAAATTTGCTAGCTGCATGTTCCTGAATCCTATATGGAATTTAATTTGTTTAAATAATCGCCAACGCGTTCAGGTGAGCCCTGCCTATTTTGGATTTGGTATTTGCTGCGCTTGCGGCATGCTCTTCAAAATACTTTTGTTATAATATTTGAGTACCTGGCACATTCCAACCACAACTCCCTATCCCTTGTCAATCGTGTGCCCAGTCCAAAACTTCGTTTTGGCATAGTTGATGTTGCCCACGGCTCGACGTTGTCATAGTTAAGCCAATGTAAACTTTTTTAATTTGCCATAATAATAAAAATTCCGTTTGCCGCTCCACACAAAATAATTCAACAAGTTTTATGCAAAAAGCCGCTCTCAAATATTTGTGGTTCCAGTTTGTGTTTTATGGCAGCTCACACATGGCCAGACCCAACGATGGGGATCGGGTTCAGAGTGGGTGGTGGGAGGTGGGGAAAGCTCGCCAGCTTAAGAGCCATTTGATTTATGGACTCAAAGTGCAAGTAGAAGTGGTTTAATCCCGCAGCTCCACTCAGCTCAGCAAGACGCTGGCATTTCGAGTACCTGCTTAAATTTACAAACACTTCAATTTGCCATAAAATATGTACAACAATTCGAGACTGCAAATTGTTGATAAGAAAATTCAATTTGGACGCTGCCTGGTCGCAAAACTGAATTTTTTAATAGTTTGCTAGTGGAATATTTAAATATTTAAAATATTTAAGTGACAGCGGCTTATCTATAATCTGGAAAAGATGTGAATTAAGAAAAATATCAGAGCTTCTCGGACTGTTCCTCAATGGAATATTCCCCTATTTCACTGGATATCGTGAGTTCGGACCACCTGACTTTAAACATAATGGTGCCATCTGAGGACTAAATAGTAAAAACGCAATATACCTTGTATCTCCCGAACATCTGAAGTCCACAATCAGCCAGCGAGCTTCGTTTTAGGATTAAACTCTGGGAGGCGTCACTAGCAGAGGCTTCAACAAGGACACACAAAGGAAGCTGCAGGCATGCGGCAGATCCTTTAAAGTTAATGCCGCTGTCGTTTACCGAAAATCGATTGCCACATGGGACATGAAAACGAGAATGTATCAAAAGGGCAGGGGGGAGGGAGAGCAGCAGGTATATTGGGCGAGCAACATGTGGCTAGTGAGAAGATGGGCGTCCTGTCGGGCGGGACGAGTTTCAAATGAAAACTCAGAGGAAATGGCGGTGTTTGGCGATGTTTTTTTTTTTTTTTTTTTGTGAGTGCTGCACATTTGCAGCATAAGCATTTTTATTGTCGCCAGGGCAGCTTGATTGACAGAGGGCTGCGCGAATTCGTTAAAAAATTGTTTGGATAAACGCCTGGACACCTGAACAGGTAGTCTACATGTTGGCCAACTCAATTGCCCTCGGCTTAAATAAACGAAGTTGCACGTCCTTTGCCACAAGCAGTTGCAGTTGTGCGTGTGAGCTTCCGCTCCAGCCATTATGAACAGCTTGTTTACTCAAGCTACATGTGCAAATAACCACACCGGAACCCAAACGAACTGGAAACAAGCAAGAGGCTCTAATCGGGAGTTCCTGACTAGGGGATATCCTGAACCCTTTTCTACCAACACCTTATACATCGCATACCAATCGCAAACATATGTCAATATACGCAACCGTTTTCTTTAATAACTGTTGTGTTACTAAATCGAGCTTGATGAAATATTCTACAATAGATCTTGTTGTGCTATAGAATATTTATATATTCTCGGGCACTAGGAGGACCTACAGCTAAAATTTCAAGTCTCTAGCTTTTATAGGTTCTGAGATCCTTGCGGACATGCCGACAGACAGCCGGACATGGCTAGATCGACTCGGGTTATAATGCTGATCAATAATATATATACTTTATGGGCATGAAAGTGCTTCCTTTTGCCTGTTACATACACTTGCACCAATACATTATACCCTTCTTACCCATTTTGAATGGGTACAAAAACAACAAGCTGGCCTGAGGCACAGGCAGAAGTGAGACCTGAACCCACAAACAGTAGTCGCCATAAATGTTGTTGTTTTAATTAAAATTTAATGAAATTAAGCAAAATATTTTTATTGCCCAGTTGCGACGGTCCTGGTCAGTCCGTACTGTTAAATATGAAATGTGAAACTTTGTTAAAATTTGTTTATGTAAATGACACGGCGCCTGAGAGCTCGGTATTTTTGTTGAATACAGTTTTAAAAATTCTAGGAAAAAAAAACTCCGGAAAAAGCGGGCAGAAAGCGGCAACGAATGCTCTCAACTGTAAGTAATTCACGTTTATTAAAATACCATGGAAAAATATCAACCTTCGCTGGCAGCCAGTTATGCGACAGTGTGGCACAGGGGCACAGGAGCATGCGGCACGCGGCACTGTGGCAACACTTATAGCTTTAGATTAACTGGCAGCTTGGGCAAATTCAAAGCTTAGTTGGCAAACAGCTCCTTTGTCTCCCCCCTGGCATTTCGTCCTGCAAACAGGTTAATTGAATTTACCGAATGTGTTGAATGCGAGGCGGGCGGAGCACGCCAGCGAGGGCAGTTTAGAACGCATGCAGCTCCTGCCTGCAGTTAGGTGATTACCAGCTATTACTCCTCCCCTCCAATACACAACAATTTCTTTTCCTGACCCATTTAACGCTTTCTTCTGCCAGCTATTTGCATACAAAGGATCTGTCGCCGTTCTCTCTGTCTCTCTCTCTCTCTATCTCTGTTAGGCTGTTAAACACTTTCCATTTCAAGCCTGATTTCAGCAAAAAAGTGAGTTGCAGCTACCTGAATTATTCTACGGCCAACCCCCTGTTCGTGTGAGTTTGTTTGTGTGTGTGATGTAAAGTTAATTATTCTACGAAATGGATTCAACACTCGGTACACGTAACGAGGCGGCAATGTACAAACTTTTATCGCCATTGCTCTGCAATTTGGCGGCCATCTCGACTGTGTCTATGTGTGTGTGCCCTGAGTGTTTGGGTGTGTA